AAACTTAAAAAGAAACCGACTTCCAGGTACTAAAATGTAAAAATAACTAAACGGGGGTTTTCATTTAGAATAGATACCTAATCAGATATTTTCAAAGTCGGTGCCAACGGACAATATTTTAAGATATGAATATCTAATAGGTAAATATGTATTTTACGTATCAAAATATACCTATTAGATTTCTTATGCGTCGGCTGGCACCGACTTCAAAATTTTATAATTGAATATGGAATATTATTTATTTAATTTGAGCTGTTATTATTATAATTATTACAATTTCACGAAAAAATCCGAAAACATAGTTTTATTTAAAATGTCAAATATTCGCGTAAATCTAAGAAAGTAGTAATACTTATTTTAAGTTTTATATTACTGGTTAAAAATGTCAAATTATAATAATTATAGGTAACAAAAACTAACATAACACGCTTTTAAACTATTTCAACGAAAAGGACACGTGAATAATAATAATTAGAAGGATATTAAAATTGACTTCTCGGATTTATTTAAATGATTAGTTGACATGTGAAACTTATAATAAAGGTGTGGTAATAAATAAGCTAGACTCTAGTGTAAGATAGAGCGGTTCCTTACGATTAAACCATATCAGCATATAATAATAAAAAATAGGACCCTAGAATGCATTGCGTTGAAACCAAATTCCACCCACTGGAAAAATCTGACTCACTCTGAGCCATCTTTCTACGCACGCGGAGCTGTAGAAAAAAAGCTAGTTTTTTAACATATATATTTTGAGTTTGTTTTTTATCCGACCGGCGAAGGAGGGTATATTTTTGGAACGTATGGATTTGTGTATTAGGAGTGGGCTAAAAAACCACTAATGAAAAAAATACAATAAAAATGTAGAACTTTGGACAAAGGATGAAAGCTATCAAGAAAACCTGGAAATTTTCAGACATCTGAGATGTTTTATATGTAGTATTGTCAATGATGCAGCAGAAAGAGGAGTTGCTTTAATAGTAGAGTACAATAAATGTCTCATTAAAAATTAAAAGCAACTGCAATATTTGTTGCAAGTGGTTAAAAATCACCGCCAAAAATATCCCAATTGTACAAACAAAATTTTACTTGTTTCTAAAATAGTAAAAAAGCGCAACTTATAAAAAAATCCAATTATAAAATATAAAATTGGCTGTTGGTTTTTTTTTACATTCTGTATTTGTCAAGTACCTATAAAAATAAGATGTTTGAGCAAATAAATTTTTATTTTTTTTTTACAATTTTTTAAGAAATATTATAATTATTTTTTATTGAATTTTAACTTGAATAACTTTTAAACCTGTTGACATAGCAAAAAATCGTTTCAGACCTTTTTTGTAGATCTTCAAATTTCCTATGAGAATAATAAGTATTGGTTTTTACAACACGCTTATTCATTAAAACGCAATGAAAATCTTGAACGATATTTTCACTGTACCTAAAGGAAAAAAATAGTTGTTTTTTGGCCCACCCTAATGTGTATGTTTATTTGTTTGGCACGTTCTGTATCTTATCGGTTTGACTTATTATTATTTTTTTTATGTTGGGACATTAACACACAGCGCCATCTAGTACCATGGTAAGCTACGAGGTTTGTGTTATGGATACCAGATAGTTGATACACTACACATATATAACTGTAAATACATACATTTTATAAATATTAACACCCATGACTGGAGTACAAACATTCGTGCTTATCACACAAATGAATGCCCCCAGCGGGACTCGAACCCGCGACCGCTGGCACAGCAAGTAGGGTCACTACCAACTGAGCCAAACGTGTCGTCATTTTAACATAATGAGGTATTATTTATGACAATGAATATACTTATTAAATATGGGAGCGACGTAGGGCATTTGAATTATTAAATAACTACTTCTACATATGGAATAGAATACTTCCCCAATACACCTAAGCTTCCTAGCCCCGAACCCGATTGGTATGAATTCGATTTAGGGAAAGGGCTCATGAAAACCATATAAGATACTATAATCGATTTTTAGCCGACTGCGGCAAAGCCCAAAGGGTTATGTGTTAGACGTGTATGTACATATAAAACATGTACGTCCGATCTTATATACTCTCGTAATTAATAAACGGTTTGATCGATTTCGATGAATCGTTAGATTCGTCCTAAAAAATCCAGTGTTTAGTGTAAAAAACTTTTTAATAAAAAAGAAAAACCGACTTCCAGGCACTAAAATGTAAAAAATAACTAAACGGAGGTTTTCATTTAGAATAGATACCTAATCAGATATTTTCGTAGCCGTTGCAAAGCAAATGTAATATATTTCATATCTTAAAAAATTGTTAAAAAGTTTTTATTTTTCCATTTTTAGTGTAGACGTAATAAGCAGGTAATTTTTAAGAAGAAAGTTGTTTAATAACATATTCGATTAAACAATTTATTTCAAAAAAATATTTATTGTTGATTTTTTTTTAAAACCGCTCGACCGATTTCGATTCCAAATCGGTTCAGGCGTCTTCGAGTAATCGGTGAACATACATAAAAAAAAAGATTCCGACGAATTGAGAACCTCGTCCTATTTGGAATTGGAAGTCCGTTAAAAATTATAAAAAAATCACAATGTAGCGAATTTCAAGCGACAATTTGTCTGAAAAATATTTTTGTCCAAACCTAAGTATAAAAACATATAACCTAGGTACCTGTTAATACATAATTTAGGAAAACAAATTGTTAAATAAAACTAAAAATGTCTAATTGGCTAAAACTAAAAAGCTATAAATTAAAAGATATTTTATAAAATAAAAAAAGTCCGACTGCGTAAACAGCTAATTAAAAAGATGGGAAGAAGTTGACGTAGGAACATAGTCTTATGCTGGATTTTTTTTTATTTGAATTATTTAAAATGTTTCATTTAAAAGCTTTAAATAATATTTATAGGATTTAGGAAATGTAGAACCTTTTGTTGGTAATTTAAAAACGGAAGGAGAAGTTCAGATGCTTTTATAGTTTTGGCACTATTGTGTTCCTTATAAGGTTTTTATATAATTATTATCGAAATAATTGATGCATTCTGATAAAACGACAAATTGGATGTTAAGGCACGTAAGTATGTTAAGTGGTTTAAATATTCTTTTGGAGACCATTGTGTACGACATTTTTAGTAGGTGCAAGTTAATTTATATTTACATAGGCCAATCTTTTAAAATAATAAAAATGTTCTAAGTTGTTACATATATTAATATTGTTACATATTTAATATATTGTCTTCTCCAAATTCATCACGAATTCTTGACGGAGAGGCCTCATTAAGTCAGCATAACCGCCAAATCAATTTATTTTAACCAAAACATATTTTTTTGTTGAGCTCATTATACCGGAAGGTGCGATTATAATTAACAATTTGAATTAAGTAAATTAATTGTAAGAATTTTATTTAGGGGCAGTGTTAAAGAAAGGCAAAGAAGATATTACCTTATTAACTTATTAAATTATTCATTACTAGCAGAACCCGCGGATTTGCTCGCGCTAAAACTACAAAAAAGCTCAAAAAAGTAGGTTCCATATAAACTTTCATCCCCTATTTTACCCCCTTCTTCTTCTCCCTGCCCATTTCACAATCACTTGGGGTCGGCGCAGTACGTCTTCCGTACTGCTGATAGGATTTGGCAAAAGTTTTACGACCGGCCGCCAGCCTGACGTCAACTCTCCTTGGGAATGCTATTGTCTCTCTTTGTCTGAATGGTGTCGCGGAAGTCTTGTATTTATTATGCACTTTCGATTTTGTTGTCTAACATTTTTTATACTATTACTTCAATTTTTAATGTTACTTTCGGATATATTTTAAAATAAATTTTGATTACACAATAAATTTTGTTTTGACGTTGACAAATTTTTTCTAAATGTGATTTAGAAACATTCATGTTACCCCTATTTTACCTACACCTTACTTATTAGTTGAATTTCGAAACTACTACCTTATTAGTTGAATTTCAAAAAATGCTAAAACACGTATTTATTTAATTGTATTGAAGAGCATTTATACCAAGTATCAAGTAATTCTGATCATAAATATTTTTTTGAGTTGTATTATAACGTGTTTTCCCGTGGGTATAAGATAATCTCCCGCGGTAAAAAGTAGCCTATGTCATTATCCAGCCCTCTTACTATCTTCACACAAAGAATCACGCCAATCCGCCTCTCCGTTTCGACGTGCAAGAAGGACAAACAAACAAACAAACAAACAAACAAACACACTTTCACATTTAAAATATTAAGTATAATATTAAGTATTGAAAGGCTTTCTTTGTGAATTAGTCTTGGTATTTAAAAAACGGAAGAAAAAGTTTAGGTGCTTTCGGCTATCGCTTATGTTTTTTAGCGCTGCTGTGATCCTTTTATGGTTGTCGTCGGTCAAACGTAAGTCAGAGATGTATCAATATCTTCTAGTTACCTAGTACACCTTGGATGATATGATAAACACCTGTCTCATTCCACTATGCAGCTGTAGAGGTCTTATTTCTCTATCTTGTACTTGGCAGTTATCTTGGCATCTTTGAAAAAATACAGTATAATTAGCATCGCTTCAAGGATTCCTACATTTTTCAAGCACTTAATTCTAAAACTTCTGTATCTTTTTTACTTATCTTAAGTTTAAAACAATTTGTGACTATTATACTAATAATTCTTTATTATTTGTAGATTTTACTATTTATAACATTTATTTTTAGACCACATTTTAATAGACACAGAATATATGTAAAATATCCCTTGATACCGTGGCTTAGTAACTAGTATAACTATTTTATTTTTTATTGGAAAGGAATTATTTCAACGGGATAGAAGATAAAAATAATTGGAACATTTTCTTACATGCGGGGATTACTAAATGAAATTTGAAATATGTATATAAGCATTAGGTATAAATTCTTAGGACTCCGGTCAATTATTTCCTTTCTGGTGTGATCAGAAAATACTTTCTAATATATGATCCTTGTACTCATATTGTTAGCCTTTATATTTCTACGCAAAATGGGACTGAAGTATGGTACTTTAACTGCCTAAATTTTAATTACCAAGTAGCAGTGGCGTAACTAGTCTTTTTGGCGCCAATGCAAAAAAAATGGAAGTGCCTCTTTGCCCTTTTTAAAAATGTGGTCCACAAACAGAGACTGTTTTCGAACTTGTCACGTTTTTTCAAATCGCTCTCACGGAAGAACGGGCAGAGTGAAATTTACCATTCATCGTTTTATAGAGTATAGGTACGATTCCTCTTGATCTTCGTAACAAATAATATGTGGAAATTTAGAACCCTTTTCTCTTGCGTTTTTTTTAAACTTCTATGAGGATCGTCCTGGAAAAAATGTTTTGAAATAAAAAAATTGTTTGTGGTCCGCTGGGGCCCCCTTGAATCAGGGGCCCGATGGGACCGCATTCGTTGGTAGCTACGCCACTGCGTTCGTGATAATTCCAATAATATTGTGGTCGAGTGAGCGCTAACTGCTAACTAAGCACAAAAAAAAACATATTACTTCGTATAAATTATGTATTTTCTGGCTAAATGTACCTTACATATTATATTTTTTTGATAGTATGATGTCAAAAAGTTTTAACTTTAATTTTTAATTTTTTTTTAACTTTTGAACTAACTTAAACTTTGAAGAATTTTATATAAATACTAACATACTAAAAAACTCACTTCTATTAGTAACACTAAAAATTAGGCTCTAAAATTTAATTCTAATGTATTGGGCTTGTCAAATGAAACCAAATAAGATCAAACGCAAAGTATTTACTGGTAGCCGTTGAAGAGTTCCACTATCCACCTTCTGACCTTATCAACAGATCAGCTTGATGATACCAAATAACCACAATAACATCAGAAATACAAAAACTTGCAATTTCAAAACGATATGACAACAATAAGTATAGTTACACAGTTGGTGTTTATTTTTTTATTAAAAAGTTTTTATTTTTCAAGTAGATATAGTAGTAGTAAAGTAAGAAGAAAGTATTTGCGTAAGCCGTTTAAGTTAGTTTGATGCCAATAAATAAACATAACAAAAAAATATATATTCACTTTCAAACAAAACAATTTTTGTTTTGTTTTAAATGTTTGAAATTAATAATAAATGACGGAGTTCTGAGGTAACAAACATAAAAAAAAATACAACCGAATTGAGAACCTCGTCTTTTTTGAAGAAGTCGGTTGAAAAGGAGGACGTTCTCAATTCATTTGTTGACCATTTTAATATTTTATGCTATTTGTATGAGAAAAAGAAGCTTCTATTTGTAGGAGAAAAAACAGAAGCTTAACGATTTTAGGTAAAAAATAATAATTATAAAACGTTGTAAATACCATTCCCAAGATTGGTCTTAGTTTTTTAATATAAGCAAATGGCGTGTAACTATACTTACTGAATAAATCCTTGATAATGAACATTAAAGATGAGAAGACTCTGTAATTCTGATTGCGAACAATAACAAAACAAAACTACGAGTATCTTCATTAACCGCGATAAAAAATGAACATCTTTTAATTAAATCTATACTAATATTATAAATGTGAAAGTGTGTTTGTTTGTCTTTCTTTCATGTCGAAACGGAGAGACAGATTGGCCTGATTTTTGTGTAGAGATAGTTGGAGGGTTGGAGAGTGACATAGTCTACTTTTTACCGCGAGATTAATCCCACGGGAAAAGACGTTATAATACAACCCGAAAAATTATATATTTATGATCAGAATTACTTAAAACTTGGTATTAATGCTCTTCAATACAATTAATTAAATACGTGTTTTAGTATGTTTCGAAATTCATCCTATATGGGGGTAAAATATGGGATGAAAGTTTGTATGAAACCTACCTTTTTAGAGTATTTTCGGCTGTTTTAACGGGAGCGAAACCGCGGGTACTGCTAGTTATTTTATAAATATAGAAAGAAGTATTCGTTTCCATAAGATTTTATTTTATGAAGCAATTAATTATGCTGGTTAACTATGCGCTCATTTTTTTGTAACATCTATTCGAGTGAATTGCGCATAATTAGTATTTAGTAGATAAATTTATATCAAGGTTCAACTGTTCAGGGTTAACTGTATCGTTTGTCTAGTGGCTAGCATCTATAGCTGGTAATTCGGAGATCCTGGGTTCGAGTGCCGGGTCGAGTGAAGTTTGATTACTGAGTTTTTTGTTAAGATATTCTCAGTAGTAGCCCAGAGTTGAGAAGTTGGTGGTGTTCCATCCCCGTGCCTCGGAGAGCACGTAAAGTCGGCGATCCTGCGCCTTAACTCTCACCTGTCGCGTCGAAGTATCGTATCATCGGGCTTTGAGAATAATAATTATTATAATTATTTCTAGATAGCAAACTGTTGTTCAAATACCACATAAATCAGATGATTTCCAATGCGTTTAAAATGCTGGGTTTCATACTTAGAGTGAGTAAGGACTTTAGGAGTATTTGTACAATGCTTTTACTGTATAATAGCTTGGTTCGTTCGATTCTGGAATATGGATCAATAATATGGAACCCCAATCATAAAAATTACATTGAGGAAATCGAGAGAGTCCAGTTTAAATGTATTAAGTATTTGAACTTTAGGTGTCTCTCTCTACATCAAAGCTGCCCTGCTGTATCTTCTCTTGCAACCCGTCGTATATTTAAAGACCAAATGTTTTTACATAAAATAATTAATAATTTGTTGATTCAACTTATCTAACAATTCAGATGGCCCAGCTCCAATATTCGTCGAAGAGATTTGTTTTTCATTCCTGTCACCGGAAGAAATGCTCTAAATGAATTTATGGTCATGTCGTGATTACAATGTTCAATTTAACGACATTGATTTAATGAATTATACTTTAGAAAATTTCAAAAGGAAAATTAGGAATGTACTCCATATCTTATATTAATGTTTCTATGTTTTGCTAATATAATTCAAGTGTTGTTGTTTTGTCAAATCTCTACTCTTTTACTGTATGAATTGTTTGTTTGTGGAAATTTTATTGGTGTATGTATATTATTATTGTTATTTGTTGTTTGTGTTGTAACACTCTATGTTTCCCTAATAATAAAAAAAATAAAAATAAAAAGAATAGAGAGTGCACTTGTGTCTGTGCGTACACTTGCGCACTATAAGTAATATTTCTTAGCGCAGATGGCTGGCTAGTCTCAATGAGATTGACTGCCGTGGCCGGAATCGGTCAGGAGGGCACTATTATTATATGTATTAAGGATCATGGCGTATTTTAAATTTTTTTTTATACTATTCTGAATTAGTGCTTGACTACGTTCCACCTGATTGTAAGTCGTAGATGGTAAGTCGCACTAATTCAGTAGCCACCTATTCACTCTTGCCTTGAAGACACCCATGTTGTAATCGGACGGAAACACCGACACCGGCAGGTTGTTATAATGTTAAATTATTATATTATAATATTAAATAATGTCTTTGGGATTCTGTGGGCAATAAAAAATGTAGATGTCTTTCAACCAACAAACAAGTGGAAAATATGTTTAAGGCTAATTATGCAGTATTAGATTAAAAGTTATTGATAGGATAAAATAAACAAATTGCACTTGCATGAGTTAAATAATCCTATTATTTCATTTATTTTCAGTCACGTCTTTATTGAGTGACTTATTTAACTTTTTTAATTTATCTGATAATTAAAGATCATCCTTAATAATATAAATTACAATTCTACGGCCTATTTTATTCCTTTGTTGTTAACATTTAGGATACGATATATTAGAATTAGGGTCTCAAAAGCATCGTCAAAAAAAGCGCACAATTCGAAATTAAAACGCACGTTGTATCGTTTAAAAAAGTACCACTAAAAGTAGTACTTTATGTATGCGTAAGTTCGACAGTTTGTGTTTAGACAATTAGAACTATCAGTTTTTAATTTTATTCTTTGCGTCACATGTCGACACGACGCCACTTTTTGAAGAGATATTTGTTAGCAAATGTATATATAAATTTTCCGGGATGAAAAGTACCTAAAATGTTGACCGGGGATATAAGTACAACCGTGCAAAATTTTATTTAAATCAGTCTAACAGTTTCGGAGATTAGCCCGTAGTACAAACAGACAGAGAAACAAAAAAATTGAAAAAATCTGGATTTGTTCTATTTCTCTTCTTACTCTCCCCTGACTCGGTTTTTAGCATTTTTTTCTATGTACAGATATTCGACCTCTACAGTTTTATTATATGTATAGATAATGCTTTATACATCCAAATACTTTTTTGTAGTCTGAACGCGGGTAAAATCGGTTGTTGTGCTAGTAATTAATATGTTAAAAATTTAATTGAGTTCATTTGGCAGATTCATTTTCAATATACTCTAAGGTCGTGGCGGACACGAGATCTGTGGATTTTATTTTACATTTTTTTAATGCAAGTAGATATATATATATATATATATATATATATATATATATATATATATATATTAATAAATATATATATTTTATTATAAAGATGTGGCATTAAGAAGAAATGGTAACGTCCAGCCATCTGTTCGCTTAGGTCTCAACGAGCAGACTCTATTGGATCTACGTTTATTGTTTAAGTATTCTTTGTTGAAAGGTTAACTGGGAGTGAAAACGCATTGGTTTAGGATCATAACCTTTAAGACAGCTCGCTGAGTGCGTTTAAGATAAATCACATTGGTTTTCAAAGCACCATCCAAGACCGGATACAATACGAATGTATGGATTGAGTTAATGCAATTAGATGGTTTTAAAGGTACCTACTTAAGTCTAAAGAAGATCTAAGGTTCTTAAAGATAAATATTAGCTTTCTATTATGCCTTTTATTTTTTATTATACCTACATAGAGTATAAAAAGTAAATTGAATCAAAATAAAAACCTGTTCTTTTCTTTTTTTCTTAAAAAATCATTTCTCACATTTTTGAAGAGCATCATTTGAAACGTGCATTTAGAAAATTTCATCTTATTACAATTTTACAAACAAATAAAATTTGGAGTAAGATCTCCATACAAGAAAACTATATTTTACTATTCTCTTTGTATTGGTGTATTTTAGTACAAATCCTAAAAATATAAAGTTTCAAAAAAAAAAACTAAGTGTGTGAGGGAGTTCCAACTGATTCTAACTACTAACATAAGAATTTAATTTACTGGTACATGCGTAACATATGAGTATATTGTGATGAACGGAACCATCGCCTCGGTGCGACCGTGCGCGAGACCGCACTTGACCGATGTTTCTTTTCAATAACAGAAGTTTAAATCTAGCCAACTGAAGCAAATTGTCTAACTGTATCTTTTCACGATATGCATGAACGAGCCGCTGACGTAATAGTAACTTTAGTCATAGCAATTATTATTATGCACAGTCAACTTGAAAAATTAAAGATATATATCAATATTATAATTGACTAAATGTTGCAATAAATTATATCAATTTATAATTTTGGTGTCACAATTGAACAATATATCCATACATATAATAAAATTGCAAAAAAGCCGAATCAGCAGGGATTTTGATGAAATTTGGTAAGGTGATAGCTGGTTATCTGGGTCAACATATAGGATACTTTTTACCGCAGGAAAATATCTCATTTCTGAGAAAAAATACAAAAACTGCAATGTAAGAGTATACTAATATGTAAAAACTAAGAATTTGGTTTTTGGTTATCTGAATGCGGGCGGAGCCGCGGGCAATGCTAGTTACCAACAACACAGTCACAACACAGACATAGTCTAACTACTTAAACTTTAAATCAATATTTATTTTAAGCACATATCTTATTAAATTCTCTACTTTGCTTATTGATATATTTTAACATATTTACTAAATAATATCAAAACAAACAAATTTGTTAAAACGAATGAAGTGACGAAATCTGTTCATGCTATTGATATGATGTATTCTTTTTATCTAGTTTATAGTTAGTTACCTATTGCAAAATGTATCTATTGCTTATGTAGATAACGAATTAATTTTAATATACATGAAATAAATGTATTTCAATTAAGGGATATCGACATAATATTCTTGCATTGTTATAAAGTTATTGCTGTTGTTAGTGTTTTAAATGGTTTGATTAGTTCATTTAGAACGCGGCGTCCGGGAGCGCGTGATGTGGGCTTTATTTGCGCACGCTTGACTTGTTAGTGGGGGCACGGGTTGTGTAGTGAAGAGGGTGGCATGTGGTGGTAGGGCTTTAAAGATTCTCTTCGGCCAGTACGTAATTGCAAGCCAAAAGCGTTGGCTGTGCGTAGCATTCGATTTTTGAACATAGTCGAATGAAATCGCTTTTTTTGCCGCGCGGTTCAAAAGTTTGATTTCGAGCGGATATTTAAAGTGATTTGTGCATCTATTTCTATAAGATTCGGTGTCACATTGTTATATTTTTTTATTGCCGTAATATTCTTTTGAGTGCGTTTTGAAAGGTAAGTTTTGGTTAAAATTAATATTTAATGTAGAGTCCTCATTTTAAAATTGTGTTTATTAATGCTTTCTTATATTATTTAAGTATAATTTAAAATTCTAATTGTTTTAAGGTGCGAGTAGGTTAAAACGTCGGCATAAATAATTATGCATAACAATTATTCATTTAATCGGAAATCAATATAGGTAATAAGGGCATGATAAGCAAAATAAAGCGACTATAAAAGTGAAAAAATCCAATTATAGCGTCATATTAAACTAGTTTTTAGTATTGAATATAAGTTGAAAAATAAAGTACTTAAGTGGAATAATTCAACTAATATCCATATAAAACCTATTAGATCTGTAAAATGATTTTTTACGGTTACTACTTATATCAGTATTTTCTGACAACACTTTCAGTAACATTTTGAATCAGAAAAAAAAACAAAATTAAATTAAAAATATTTTAGGATTTAAGTAATGTTATTTTTTCTAGTTCGTTGGTAAAATAATAAATTTGGTATATTCATTCTAAGACCGTGTAATTTTATACTATATACATAATATGTATATTTATTATACATATTTATTATAATTTATAAAAATGTGTGTATGTACTTATTTATGTACGTACGTAAGAAGTTATACTTCTTTGGCGTAACAGAGCAAAAATAGCTAAAGATTTCATCTCGTATGTCACAACTCTCTGTTTGTAAAAGGAATGCAGCTAACTTCATCATGTCGCTTTTTGGCTGTTGATGTGCGCGCCGTATCATGTATCGTAAAAATTTTACTCTCATATTTTTTTCCTAACCTGCCAAAAGAAGTATAAATTCAAGCCTCGCAAAGCTGTTTTTCCTCAAAAAGTTGTGAGATGTATGTTTATAACACCAAATCGGGTAATTTATTCAGTACCTATCTAAGAAAGCATTTAACCAACAACTTTGTCATAAATTGTCACCTAATTAGTTTAAATAACAACATTTTATAGTGAACGTATAAATATTAGATATTTTTTCTTTAACATTTTTTTATATACATTAATTTACAATAAAGAAAATTATAAATATACTTAATTATATATATATATATATATATATATATATATATAACAAATGTATACTTAGTTATTTCTTTAATAAATAGAATAACGCTTGGCGTGATAGTGTATTTTTATTTAAAAAAAAAACGCATAAAATTTCTACGAAGTCAATGGAAACTTTGACCTCCTTTCTCTTCCACTTCATGTTCTTAAGGTGCTGTCATTGTTTTATTCTGATGCATTTGTGCTGCATTATTTAAAAATCAAATATAATTTATAGACACTTCTATAAAAGACTTGAGTATTAACAATTCAAAGCATAAATTTAAATTTTAATACATATGCGTTTAAAATATAATTTTATATTTGCTCGTAACCAAAATACAAGTACATTTACGTAAAGGTACGTAAAAAGACCCTTCGTGGAAAATAATAAAATAGGCCATCGAGAAGTTCTTATTTAAAATATTCGTTTTAACTTTCAACCATTTAAAAAAAATACTTTGCTTGTTTTACATGGCTCTGAAGTCGCTATGTAGTAGAGACGGATGGTTAATAAATATAATCGAATGACACATAAGCTAAAGAACAAAGTTCTGTGCGGCAATCATAACAATCAATGATATTAGTAGCGCTTGCACGAGTATGGAATATATACCGTTAATTAAGTGAAATGTTTATTATTTTGTAATTAGTCTCAGAAAAAGACCATTAAATAGAGTAAACAGATTAATTAATAAAAATACTATGGTCTGATAACTATCGTAAGTGTTGTTGAAAAGTTTTTGTTTACAATATGTTAACATTTCGCTCAAACCTTTTGTACCTACTATCATTTTTCATATATATATATATATATATATATATATATATATATATATATATATGTATATGTATATATATATACGTACATATGCACGTGAGCGTGCAATGTACAAACTTTACCATCTCTATTTTAGGGCCTCTATCATTTTGAATTTCAAAAAATCTGAGTATTTCAATTAAACCTTTTTATCGTTCAGTATAAAAGATAAATGTAAAAACTTAAAAAAATAAATAAAAACCGACTTCCAAGCACTAAAATGTAAAAAATAGCTAAACGGGAGTTTTCATTAAGAATAGATACCTAATCAGATATTTTCGAAGTCGGTGCCAGCCGATGCAAAGCAAATCTAATATATTTGGATGCTTAAAATACATATTTATTATTTACCTATTAGATATTCAAATCTTAAAATATTGTCGGCTATACCTGGGAAGTATACTTCGAAACAAAAAAAATATTTCCAAATCGGTTCGGGCGTCTTCGAGTAATCGGTGAACATACATAAAAAAAGATTCCGACGAATTGAGAACCTCCTCGTTTTTGGAAGTCGGTTAAAAATGAGTAAATAGGAAAAAACACGTAATCAGAGCCTCATATATGTAGATCCTAGAATTTTTATCATATAAACTTCTAAACTATATTTATTTATTATAGTAGTGTAGATAGTTATTGAATGTAATGAAACAAATGTAAGCCTTACTAGCCTTACAGGCAGTGGTAGCCCAGTGGTAACGCGCTCGCTTGGGAAACCGAGTGAAGCGGGTTCAAATCCCGGGTCTCGCACCTCTGATATTTTCATGTGCGAATCATTTCTGACATGATAACCACTTGCCTTATGGTGAAGAAAAACATCGTGAGGAAACCTGCATGTCTGAGAGAACCTAGCAAGTTTTCGAAAGACATGTAAAGTCTGCCAAATGGAATTTGGCCTGATCCCGCTCGTATTGAAGGGAGGCCGTGCCCAGCAGTGGGACGTTAAAAAGGGCTGAATACAAACAAGCCTTACTATTCAAAATAACGGTAAATAAATAAAATCATGCGAGCGAGTTTTTTTTATGTACATATTTTTAACACCACCACGTAAATTTCTAAGAAATTAATTAAATTTCTAAGAAATCTATTGTTAACTGTAACGCCGGCGTGTCCGCGGTCGTTGAGGAATTAAATGTATAAGAAGTTATATACCTGAGTATATACATGTATGTATAATAAAATTCCACAAATTTCTAAGATTTTCCTTTTCAAGAACTTAAAATTAAAAGTATTTTAATGATGAGGGCAGTATAGACTCTGTTTAAGAGTTTTTTCTTGATAGTAATGTATGGAATTCAGATATAATGATATGTTACAAAAAACAAAAATAAAAAATGCAACTCTATAGTTAAAAGAGCAACATTAATCGAGCAGTTTGTTGCCGACTCTTCTCATCAGAACTGCTAGCAGAACCTGTGTGCTTCCTCGCGTACTGACTATACTACACGCTTTTTAAATTAAATTGACGATTCAAAAGTGCTTGTATAAGTCTAATTGAATTAGATTTAATTTCATTTCAAAACCACAATTAATATGTGACAAAAAATTCTGATGTGCATAAATCAAACTTGCGATCACATGGGTTTCTAATCAACCGAGAATCGTTAGAATCATTTGCAATGGCTACATATTAACTATATGTATTTAGATTAAATCGGGAACTGGAAAAATTTATACAACTCAAGGTTTATTTATGTCCAGAAAAAATATTAAATATTTGGTATATAAATTAAAGTACACAACTTATAGTACGTCACTTGCTTTTAGTTAGTCTAAATGATTTGCTATTTATATTGTTGTGTTAATATAATGAATTTTAAATTATAATGACTATAATATTTTGTTTTGATATAATGTTTAATCATCGTCAAATGTGGGATATGTCTGATTGACCCCGTCTACTCCGTAGCAAGTATAGCGAAAATGAAGACCAAAAAGTAAGTAAATAATACAACATAATAAAAAAATTTATTAACAATCTCGCTATAGTCTATACTAGGTACGTTTTAACGGTTAGTGTGAAATAAAAATCTATCAATTTCTCGGCTTTTCTGTACTATAATATGCATGTATTATCCATATGAATCCTCTTGAATCAATCTATCTATTAAAAAAACCGCATCAAAGTCCGTTGCGTAGTTTTAAAGATCTAAGCATGCATAGGAACAGACAGACAGCGGCAAGCGATTTTATTTTATACTATGTGTGATGTTTCGTTTTATTCACATAGTTCGGTTTTCTACATTGAATGAAATTAATTAGTAACTGCATCTGTAATGTACATTTTTACAATAGCTGTATACGATCGGCCGTGCCATTATACTTTAATCCCTCCAAGACCGCGCCGGCGTGTCAGTTAACAATAGATTTCTTAGAATTTTAATTAATTTCTTAGAAATTTACCTGCAGGTGTTAACAATGTAGTGCATATGGATATAACTTTTAATAGTTACAACTTGGTGTGATTCATGACTACAAAAGTACCTTTAGTCACCGACAAATGACAATGCATTTACAATAATATAACAGTGTTAAATATTTAAAGGTAACACTTTAGAGTTGTATTTATAATAGCTCTTGATTATAATTTGGGCGAAGAAATTCTCACAACTAATATAGAGCTTGCACAGTAGGTATATTTTAGCTACTTCCCTAGTTAGTTATATCTTTCATACTATTTGCCGCTTTAAATAGGTTTTTAGCTTGCAGAACTGGTCTAATTACGCAATTCTCAATAATGTTCATTGTTCAGCGAGAGACTTTATTCTAATTTTTACTGTGAGTTTTGCCAATCAAAAATACAACGAATGCTTGAAATAATATAAACAAAGTAAGTTGTAATTTCAAAAATATTCACCATAAGTTAAAGTATAATTTACGTATAAATGGTAGGTACTACTTCTGGATAATATTGCACATGAAACAATACTTCCGTCGATTCTTATGCTCCTTAAAATGCCAACTTGGATTCAGGGTTACATTATCGGAAATATATGACACACTATAAGGCCAAAATTTATGAAAAAAAGGATGTAAGTATATAAAATTCTAGTAAATTACATTCAGTTCATTGCCTCTGCTCTGTCGGTCAAGGCGGGTGTCGAGCACTAATAATATTA